AAACTACTTACCGTATTTTATGGAGTATAAGACGCATCTTTTTTCCTCAAAAAAGAGGCTGAAAATCTGGGTGCATCTTATACATCGAATACAGCATTTTTTGCCTCCTGAAGCCCCGCCCCTTCACCAAAATGGCTGTGCATACCCTTAGGGAGTCTTTCAGAGAGCTCCTGGGAGCTGGGGAGGGCAGAAATGAGCATAAAATGGAGCCCCCCGTAGCACTCTATAAGCCTCCATAAGGCTATGCATGCAATTTTTTTGACAAAAGACAGGCTCGTTTTTGTGAAAAATGGGCCATTTTTTGCTTCCCCCCGCACGAGCACTCTACAAGCCTCCCCAAGGCTATTCATGCCTTTTATTGGGAAAAAAGGGTCAGTTCTTGTGAAAAACAGGCCATTTTGGGGAGGTTTGCAGAGTACAAAAACTTTTTTTCTTTTGGAAATCTCTTAGACTGATGAGAATTACATTGATCAAGTGCTGTGCCAGTAGAAACAAAAGCTTAAGATTTGTCAGTGATTTCCTTCTCCAGCACATGGATAAATACACCTGGAAACATCTACCTACCTCCCTACTCTCTCTCTCTCCCTACCTATCTACTGTATTTCTGTCTCTCTCTTTTTATTTCTCTCTCTCTATCCCTCTACCTAACTACCTACATACTCTCTCTACATAACTACCTACTGTATATATATTTCTCTTTCTATCTCTATCCCTTTATCTACCTACCTACCTACCTACCCACTCTACCTACCTACCTACTGTATTTCTCTTTGTCTATCCCTCTATCTACCTATCCACTTTTTAAAAATTTGCCTCTTCAAAACCTTGGTGTGTCTTATACTCTGATGCGTCTTTTACTCCAAAAAATACGGTAGCTATAAAAGGAGAGGCTGGATCTGGTTTCCAAATTGCGCCTGAATAAGTTTCCGTATTAGCATTTCTTACCGTTCTGTTTTGATAGCTATGTTGTTTTATGTTTTAGGAGTATGCAATACTGATAATTTCAGTTTATTATCCATAACCATAGATTATGGTCCTTTTGGCTTCATGGATTCATACAACCCAGGTGAGTACAGTCTAAAGGAATTCAGGATTTATTGTTTCCCTGACAATGAAGCATGAAATTCTAAGCTGTGCCTCCATTTTTTTATCTTTTCACTTTAGATTTAAGTGAGATCAAAGAGATTAAAAGATTGAAATGTATGAGACTCACAGATTAGAACTGGAATTGACCAGTTGATGGATCCTTGAGAGTTGCATTTAAATTTTTTTTAAATTAAATTGATATGTTAGGTATGGAAAAAAATCTTAATTACATCAATTGAACTATAGAAAAGTAAGCTAGAGAAAAATGGAGGTTAAAGTTGTAGGTTTTATCAAGGGGATGTAATTTTCTTTGTTGTGTGAGAAAGGCAAGGTTTTGGCCATGGGAGATAATATATTCATTATCAAGTTTCTTTGAATTTTCTTTCTTTACACCTGGTCCTGTTTGAGAGCCTTTAAATGTTGAAAGCTATTACTCTTGATGCCATGAAATTAAATATTTATTAGCATAAACAGTGCATCTAGGGCGAACCTAGATGGAAAGCAGATATATCTCATAAGCAGATTATATCTCATACGCACTTACAGCCCACATACATTCTGATCTGGGTGCATTATTATTAGTCATTATTATAATTTCTGTGAAGTATAGTCATAAAAAATAAGTTGGCTGTTAGTAAATTTGTGTCAAAGCAGACTGGGGAAAAAGCCCTAATACATACCATATTTTTCGGAGTCTAAGATATACCGAAGTTTAAGATGCACCAAGATTTTGAAGAGGTAAATTTAAAAAACGTTTTTGCACTCTGCAGGCTTCCCAAACCCTCTGCATGCCTCATTTTTTTTGTGAAAAACAGGGCATGCAGAGAGTTTGAGAGGCCTGCAAAATGCTCCTGGGGGTTGGGGGGGCACAAATGAGCAAAAAATGGCCCGTTTTTCAGTTGTTTGTGCCCTCCTCAGCCTCCAGGAGCAATTTGCAGACCTCCCAAATGTTCTGCACATCCATTTTTGAGAAGTGGGCGGTGCTTTGGGAGGCCCAAAATGCTGTATTTAGTGTATAAGATGCACCCAGATTTTTGCCCTCTTTTTTGGGGGGGGGAGGAAGGTGCGTCTTATACTCCAAAAAATACAATACCTATGTATCTTAAAACAAAATGAACTTTTATTTTGTATAAATAAAACATGGTCAATATGTAGTCCTCAAATTATAATTGTTCATTTAATGCAATACAATACAATACAATAGCAGAGTTGGAAGGGACCTTGGGAGTCTTCTAGTCCAACCCCCTGCCTAGGCAGGAATGATCATTCATAATTATCATTCAATGTTACAATGGCACTGAAAAAAATGATTTATGGCCAATTTTTACACTTAGTTTTGCATCTTGGAGCGGAGAGAAGGACGCGGCAAGATAGGTAGCAAAACAGTAATCTTTATTCAGCTCAAGTAANAATCCCTAGTGCCGCATAATGGAGTGAGCTCCCGTTACTTGTCCCTGCTTCTGCCAACCTAGTAGTTCGAAAGCATGTTAAAATGCAAGTAGAAAAATAGGGGCCACTTTGGTGGGAAAGTAACAATGTTCCGTACACCTTCGGCATTTAGTCGTGCTGGCCACGTGACCACGGAGATGTCTTTGGACAGCGCTGGCTCTTCAACTTTGAAACGGAGATGAGCACCGCCCCCTAGAGTTGGGAATAACTAGCACATATGTGCAAGGGAAACCTTTACCTTTAAATATTTTGTAATATTACTGCTGTATTTATATACTGAATGTAAAACTTTGATTTTAGGCATTTTTCTCTCAAGTAGTATCTGAGACGGCACATTTAATTGGCTTGTGGATGTCAGTCGGCTTCGCTCATGGTGAGATTAAGAGGGTGAGGGTTGTATTGTTTGATCTGAACAGCATAACCTTTTTCCTTTTGATTAAAGATGGATGGACAAATAGATAGGTGTTGCATTGTGCCAAAACCTATACTCTGACAGAGTTCATTACTAAAGAATGTTAGGGGGTAAGTGTGGGGAATTGAAATATTGATAGTAATTCAGGGCCAGGTTCATTCATCAAAACAAAGTGTGGTTTGTATTAGCCAAAGTGTATAGTACAAATTGTGAACCATAGCTGGGTTCATACGTTGTACAAAACCAAAACAAAATCATTCACAGTTTAACTTGATATACTCAATTCATCTGGATTGGCTGCTTTAAATCTTTACTGCTTCCTTAAGGGCTCAGAGCCCTATAACCGGAATATATTTTGTTCTGTATGCTTGGTCAGAACTTTCTTCCTTTTTCTTTCATTTAAGTGCTGTAGCACCATTCAACTATAGTGAGATGTATTGAGGAAAGGTTGATTTGGAGCAACATGGCCATACTATAATTTCATGAATACGGCTTTAAATTGTAAGAAGAACAGTGCTCAGGAAGCCTTTGGGAGATTTTAGTGCCTTTGTTGATATTTCTTTAAAATTTAATTTTCCTCATGTCTTCTTATTACAGTAATTCCTCAAGCTTTTTTATTTTTTTTATTTTTGAGAAAGTATTAGACTAATGTTCACGTGAAGAGGTCTAACAATTTATTTCACTTCCTTGTTGCATGGAATAATTGAACCAATGTTTGTTACTCCATAACTGGTAATAGCTGAGATGAATTCCGACATTTTTGGCATTTTCCTATTGTCAGTGGATAGAAAGAAATTGAGCACTGATTGGCTCATAGTGATTATGTTTTAAAATGAGCAGAAGTGAAGACCAGGTCAGATTCAATCTACTTAGGAAGGGTAGAACTTTCTACTGTGAAAATCCCCTAAGTTAAGCCTTGAAAGTTTAGAAAAATAACTTTTCTAGAAATTATTCTGTAGCAAAATTAGGTCTCTTCTAAGCTGTTGAACAGCATAGGTTAATAAATTGTTGAAGCTGGAGCATTACAAAAATAGTGATACTCCTTGTGATTTGGTTCCAGGGCTGTTCCTAATCCTCTGTCACTACTGTGGCTTTTTCAAACACAGACTTCTTACTAGATTGTAAGCAGGCATGAAATGCTGTAATCTTAGCTACCGGTTCAAAACCGGAGTGAGCGCGTGCACATATATGCGCTTCACTTCACTCCCACACGGTGCTTCTGCGCATGCGCAAAACCTTCTGCACATGAGCAGAGTGTCTGTGACGACATTTGGATGGTTGGGCAGAGCCTACCGCTGCCGCCACTATCAGTTCGCCTGATCTGGGGAGAACCAGCAGAATACCACTTCTGATTGTAAGTCCACAGGACTCTGCAGCTAATTAGCTTGTCCTTTTCTTTCCAAACTGTATAATGGAAAGAAAGAGGAGCTGTATTTATTATGAAAGAATTAAAAGAATCTCAGTTTTTGACACTAATCTTACAAACTACTTACCGTATTTTATGGAGTATAAGACGCATCTTTTTTCCTCAAAAAAGAGGCTGAAAATCTGGGTGCATCTTATACATCGAATACAGCATT